CAAGAATCCTCCTCCCACTCTTCCAGTTCCCGGAAGGAAGGAAGCTTCCCACCGTCATGGTCTAACTTCCTCCGCTGATGCCGGGTATGCGGAGGAGTTCGATCACGAGGCGGTGGCATATTCTGTGCCCTCATTGCCTCCATGAGTACTGCCAGCGCTCTTGCCACCTCTTCCGAACTGGGCCCCGTCAAAGGGGTCCCCGGCCGAGTGTGGGCATGAGGCCGTGCAGCCGATGGTTGGCTTCGGGACACTGAATATGTCCTATGATCAGACTGACCCCTGCTAGACCGAGAGTGGTCCGGCCTATATTGAGAGTCATGCATTATAGGAGATAGGGAATCCTCCTTGTGTGATCCTCCCCCCGAGCCGGCACCCTTGGGAGAGTTCCGGTCCGGCGTGGGCGATGGTGTAGGGGTTTTAGGCTTTTCGCCCGCTCCTTGACGGAGGCTTTTGCTCTTGCGGTTCTTAGCCATGGCTGCTAAGATAATTGCAAGATGATCTTGGTTAGGAATTTGGCTTAAAGATTTTTGAAAGTCTTCCCCACAGACGGCGCCAAATTGTTTCGGTTGAAAACAATGGGACCTTGCCGAAGGTCCACTGAAATGGAGAAGACTGGATTCGATCCAAGCTGTGTTGGGCCGAAGGTTTCCTGCACAGTGAACACACGTAAACTAGCCTCGGGGGTGTTTCCGAGGAAGGCCCCTCCGATGCTAAAGTCAGTACAATGTGTAAAAAGGAAGACACTACGCAAGAGAGTTTGTAGCTTGAGGCTTTTGTGGAGTATTTCTCAATGCAAGAATGAGCATATGAATTGGAATAATCAGTGTATGAGATAGTGTATGTGATGATGTCTCTGATCTCTCCTTGAATGTGTTAATATGAGGGCTTTTATACCTCATCATACTTGGAGAGGTTGGGCTTTAGCCCAATTGGCTTACTTTGTGGGCTGACTTTTGACTTTTGAGCAATTGGAGAGTTGAACCTTGACCTTGGGCTTTTAATTGGATCATTTAGTGCTCAGGCCCAATTTTGACTAAATTGGACCCAAACATCTTTTGTTCAGTTTATATAACTTTTGTTCTCTATTACGTGTATAGGTTTAATAAAATCTTGATGATGCTTGATCAAATTATGGAAGGTGTAATTATATAGTTCAACTTGGCCACATCGATATTTATTAGAATTGAACTTGAACCAGAACCCGAATGTACCATCTTGTAAACCCATCCAAACCCGACTCAATACAACCCGAACATGAAATTAAACCCGATCTGATTTTAACTCGAATCGACCCCGACCTATATTCGAAAAGGTGAAAGACCCATTATAACTTTGAACTGAAATTGACCCGACCTGAACCTGAACTGAAGCTAAATTGAACTGACATAACCTGATCATGATTTAACCCGAGACCTAATTTGACCCGACCCAAACTCGACTTGAATACCCGAATTGACAGCTCTAGTTGTTATCAACTAAATTCATTTGTATTTCACTATTTTTCAATGCAAAATTATAATCATAATATTTATATCTATTTATTACCAATGAGGTAAAATTTTAATAATAGTAAACTAAAAATCGAGACAATTATATTTAATAAGAATTCACTATATCGTGATTATGTTTTGAAGTATAAAAAATCGTGAATTTGTTAGATTCCATTTTTCATGGAATATCTCAAGCTTCTAAATGTGACAGTGATGTATTTGATCGAGGTAAAATGTGTCAAATCTATACTTCTATACTAATATATATAAACAATATTTACACTAATTTACGCGCATATTTTTATTTTATTTTTGCGGTAAAATGTGTCAAATCTACACTTCTATACTAACCACCTGTCAAAAAAATAAATAAATTATATAATCACTAGAAATAATTAATGTAGCAATCCGGTGTAACACATGGGCTACACACTAATTTTTAACATGAAAAGAGTACATAATAAAAGTTTTTTTTTCCCTTAAAATGATTGACCAAGAGATATGAGAAAGGATTGTCAAACCATGATCTTTCAAACAAATAAAAAAAAGGATTGACAACCACAAATGGCAATAGATTAATCATCTTTCTCTTAAATAAGGGTGATATTGATTTTGTGTAATTTTTTCTTAAAAGATCAACAATTGTATGAAATAGTAGTAAATATTAAAACTATTAATTCCACCTTTAACTCATCTTCTCAAAACAATTCCAGCTTTGCATATTATGGAAACAATCCCGCCTTTATACTCCATATTCTCAAAATGAGTCCAACAGAAGAGAAACTTCATGTTTATAACCGATAATATATATATATATATATATATATATATATATATATATATATATATATATATATATATATATATCATCAATTAACCTATACTAAAAGCGAACCTAAAGTGACACTTGTCACGATGCTATAAAAAATTTTCCCACCTTTTTTTTCTTTCCTTTTTTTTTTTTTTTTTTTTTGCCAAACTTTAATAACTTCTATTTTATAACCTATCATGATACTTATTTCCATTTTGACAACACATTTAATCCAATCATACTCAATTAATTTTTTTTTTCAACATATATTTTATATACTATAAATATTTTAGTTACAAATATACTAACATAGTTTAAAATTAAGGTATTGACATATATCATCATCTAAGATTATCATAATAATATTATAATTTTTTTTCCTCCGACTTCAAATTTATTTTAATTAAAATAGGAACAACAATTTTGGTAGGATAATTTGTATAAATCTTACAAATATACATGTATAAATCTTACAAATATACATAACGTTTATAAGAACAGCTTAACAAAATCATTTTATTATATTATACTCCTCCATTTTTTTATAAGTTATGGTTGAATTTGCACATTTGTTGAGACACAACTTTGACCATCAACATCTTTAATTAGAGACTATTATTTTGTTACAAATATAAATTTGTTGAATTAATACCATTCTTTATAAATTTTGTTGTAAAGTTTAATTATGACCGTGCATGACACGGAATTTAACCTAGGATATATATATATATATATATATATATATATATATATATATATATATATATATATATATATATATATATAAGAGACAAGAAATAAAAAGCAATAAAAGAAAGAAGATGCTAGCCCTCGATTACGCTAAACTCAGAAGTAATCGTTTAGTTGAGAATGACCCTAACGTATGCCACGGGATGAAGTCCTTGGACAACGATATGATTTTGGCAACTAGCAAGTGCTTGGTAAGCATATATATGGTCCATAAACTTTATCAGACCATAGTAGGAAATTTCAGCGAGTTTGCAGTGCAAAACAAACTAATATAATTCCATGAATGATGCTATCATGCCTATCAATTACAAGTAGAAATCATTTTATTCAAGCGTGAAGTCTTGAAAAGTATGCCAATGTGAAATGTGGATGAAAATTTCAAAATTAACAAACTATGCTCTTTGCTTATAAAAACTGGGAATTATAATGAACTTTAATTCTACAAACACAAATCAAAACACTAATCATATTCTTGCTTGCACTACTTATGTGTTGTGGTATGGTTAGTACTTAGTAGTTCACTTGTGCCAAAGCGGGCAGTTTGCAGCTGCTGCAGGAAACTCGAGCAGTATCTTGTGCAAACAGCACGAGCGAGAAGCTTTGCTTAAGATGAAGCAGATCCTCACAACCCATGATTTGATTTTATGGGTTTATTGATTTGTTCAATGCACTGATTGTGGATTTGATTTTGGAAAACTCCCTTCAAAAAAAAAAAAACTTTGCTTATTGTAGACTATAGAGTAATAGAAGATGAAAATTTCATCATACACCCGTGTGTATCATGAGTGTATCACACTCAGGTCAAAATACAAAGGATACTTAAAAATGCAAAAAGAACATTACATACAAATATAAAGTACATGAGAAAAAAAAATCAAAATGATTCCCTCCTTGATTTAAGAGATTGATTTGTTAAGTTCCGACCCGCACGAAAGGCGTAACGATCTGGGCACTGTCTCGGAGAGAGGCTCGGTATTTATAATTTATATTTTATAAAACACAAAGTCTTATATGTGGCTAGCCACATAGTGTGACCACTTCACATAATCATATGCAAGACAATTAATTAAGTAATAATGGGTCATGATGATGAGCAAATAGGGGTACCTTAACGTATGTAGGTTACTTAAATGAGAAAATGGGGTTACTTTCTTAAATAAGATGAATTATTATTTCATTTTTTAAACAAAATAATAGGGGGTTACTCAAAGAAACAAATGGGGTTAATTATTTATAAATTACTAGAATTTACTCGTATAATGATTTTGGGTTCTTTTTATGAGCAACATGGAGTTACTCATATGAAAAAAATAAGATTACTTACACACACACATATATATATATACACTCTTGTAAACCAATGTGTTCACATCGTGTGGCTAGTCACATACAAGACTTGTCCTTTATAGAAGAGGAATTACATAATACGCAACTCCGCTTGTACTCTACAATTTGTCCCTTGATTAATATATTTTGCTCAATGCATTTTAAAAAAAAAAAAAAAAAAAAACCTCTTAGCTAACTAAGCCATAGTTATTGTAACATGGGTATTATTCATTATGAAAAGATTAATATAGGTAAAATAATATAGGATACACCTAAACACGTCATATGATATTAAACAAATTAAATACGTTATGTATAATGTATTTTAAAGGTGTGGACTTCCTTTCAAAAAAATCTTTATTGATTTTTATCCATACACGACGTGCAAGAAGTGCAAGTTTGATCAACCTTTCCAATAAATGATATTAAGGTACTATTGCTAGCCCTTGAAATACGCTAATTAAAATCAGTAGTCGTCGTCTAGTCGTGACTCGTGAAAGACCCTAACGTATGCTACGGGGTAAAGTCCTTACACAACGATGTGTTTTTGCCTTTTTGGCAACTAGTTACTAGTACCAAGTGCATGGCCAGCATATATATGGCCCATACACTTTATCATCGCAGGAAATTTAGCGAGTTTAATTTGCTATGCAAAACAAACAAATATAATGCCATGATCATGCTATCAATTACAAGTAGACATCATTCTATTCAAGCGTTGACGTTCAAGACTTGAAAAGTATGCCAATGCGACATGTGGATGAAATTTTCAAAATTAACAAACTATGCTAGTGTTTAGGTACATACGTCCAATTACTCTTTGCTTATAAATTGGGAATTATTATGAATTTTAGTTCTACAAACACAAATTAAAACACTAATTTCTTTTCTTGTTTTCCTCCACGATAAAATAATCACCAAAAAAAAAAAAAAAAAAAAAAAAACATATTCCTAGCTTACCATCGAGACCGATGGGAAAATCATATTCTTGCTTACAATACTTATGTGTTGTGGTATGGTTAGTAGTTCACTTGTTGTGCCAATGCGGGCAGTTTGCAGCTGCTGCAGGAAACTCGAGCAGTATCTTGTGCAAACAGCGCGAGCGACAAGCTTTGCTTAAGATTAAGCAGATCCTCATAGCCCATAATAGCTCTGTAAAAGTTGGTTCATGGGTTGGGGAAAACTGTTGTCAATGGCAAGGAGTGGGCTTTGATTATGTCACTGGCAACATTATTCTTCTCAACATCATTAATCCTGATCCTAACATTTGTTCAACATCGGGCAGAATCTGCTACGACGACGGATGCTACTATAACAGTAGGTAAATGCTTAAGTTGTATTGATATTCTTGGCTATAGCCTACCAAAAAAAAAAAAAAAAAAAAAAAAAAAAAAAAAAAGGCTAAACAATATAATACATTTTCCTATATTCCTATTTCCTAACACCCTCTTGCAATTATAACGGTAGTATGCACGACAGCACGAGTGATATTGACCCTATCCAATAAAACCTATTATCATTGAAAATTTTCAAATAACCAAGTCTAATTTACACTAGACCTTATGTTTTGTGCTCATTCTTGCTATAATATTTCAGATGCCTTGAAATCAAAGATGGGAGCCTTGATCACAATATCTTTGGTTCGATGATCACAATTTTGCAAGGACTGAAGTACTTAACTCACCTGAAATTGTACGGCCTCATTTTCGGCAGAGAATCAACAAGAATCATGTCCTTTTCAAAAGTCATTGGAACTATGACTCAACTGAGATATCTCAATCTCTCTTCTGTTGGGTTGGTTGGGGAAATTCTTTCTCAAATTGGTAATCTTACCAACCTTCAAGTCCTTGATCTCTCTAATAATTTTTTACAAGGGAATGTTCCTCCTCAAATTGGTAATCTTACCAACCTTCAAGTCCTTTATCTCTCTGATAATAATTTAGAAGGGAATGTTCCTCCTCAAATTGGTAATCTTACCAACCTTCAAGTCCTAGATCTCTCTAATAATCAGTTTGATAGAGAACTTAGAATTATGAGGTGGGCATCTAGTCTTTCTAATTTGCAATTCCTTGACCTATCCAACATAGACTTGTCTCAATTAACAGTTGATGCATGGCGGATACTAAGCCAACTTCCTTCTTTGTCTCATCTTGGTCTCTCAGGTTGTAATCTTAAAAATAACCACTTATCTCATGTTTTCTCCAATGACTCAGCAATAATCCTCAACACCCTTCATTATCTTGATCTTAGCAGTAATCTTCTCAAAAACCCACTTACAATTCTTGGAAACCTTAGCTCCCTTAGCTTTCTTGACCTCTCTAATAATCTTTTAGAAGGTTCAGTCCCTGGTTGGCTTAAGAACATGAGGAGTCTTCAAGTCCTTAATCTAGCCAGAAATGGATTTAGCCATGTTGAAAATGGTATTTGGGGAATTATGGGGAATCTATGCAACTTCATACATTTGGATTTATCTTACAATTTAATCCATGGAGAGATTCTAGAGCCAGCAAATATTTCCAGCTGCATTAGTTACAGTTTAGAGTCCCTTGATCTTAGTTTCAACAATATTAGTGGCAATTTGCCGTCTTTTTTAGGACAATTAACTAACCTGAGACAACTAGATTTTTCGGAAAATAAATTAAGTGGAGAGATCCCAGATTGCCTAGGACAATTGACTAACCTGAAAGACTTAGATTTTTCAGATAATAAATTAAGTGGAGAGATCCCAGATTGCCTAGGACAATTGACTAACCTGAAAGACTTAGATTTTTCAGATAATAAATTAAGTGGAGAGATCCCAGATTGCCTAGGACAATTGACTAACCGAAAGACTTAGATTTTTCAGATAATAAATTAAGTGGAGAGATCCCAGATTGCCTAGGACAATTGACTAACCTGAAAGACTTAGATTTTTCAGATAATAAATTAAGTGGAGAGATCCCAGATTGCCTAGGACAATTGACTAACCGAAAGACTTAGATTTTTCAGATAATAAATTAAGTGGAGAGATCCCAGATTGCCTAGGACAATTGACTAACCTGAAAGACTTAGATTTTTCAGATAATAAATTAAGTGGAGAGATCCCAAATTGCCTAGGACAATTGACTAACCTGAAAGACTTAGATTTTTCAGGTAAAAATTAAGTGGAGAGATCCCAGATTGCCTAGGACAATTGACTAACCTGAAAGACTTAGATTTTTCAGATAATAAATTAAGTGGAGAGATCCCAGATTTCCTAGGACAATTGACTGAAATTGAGCATCTAGATATTTCACAAAATTATATTCAAGGCAAAGTCTCACTCTCGCACTTAGGAAGCCTATCCAAGCTGTCCTACTTGGATATGAGCTACAACAATTTGTCTCTCGACATTACTTCTAAGTGGCTACCTCCCTTCCAACTTAATACCTTTAGGATGACTTCTTGTAAAATCAATCACTCTCCACAGTGGCTTCAAACACAAACTAGGATTCAAGATTTAGATCTCTCTAATACTGGCATCTCGGGCAAGCCACATGAATGGTTTATCAACACAACTAGCCTCCTTAGGTTGAACCTTTCCAACAACTTTCTCACTGGACCTCTCCAAAAACAACTCTCTCTAGGTCAATGGGATGTAGATGGGTCGTTTATAGATCTTTCCTCAAACCAATTCTCAGGTCCCATCCTACTTAGCTTCGGGAAAGATTATTGTGGAATTTCGAGTTTGCAATTGAACAACAATAGTCTTACGGGACATATTCCTTCATCTCTCTGGAATTGTACCCAATTGCAAATTCTAGATCTTAGCAGAAATAAACTCTCCGGACTAATACCACCTTGGACAAGTGATCAATTATTAAATTTGTATGTCCTTAGGCTTCAAGAAAATCAGCTTGGTGAAGTCAATTCTAAAGAGGATTCCACCATCTTAAAGAATCTGTGTAAGCTCAGAGACTTAAACATATTAGACCTCCAGAACAACCGCTTATCCGGCACAATTCCAAATTGTTGGGAATCTTCTACGCTGCAGGTTATAAATCTTTCATCCAACAATCTTTCTGGTGTCATCCCATGCTCTCTTGGAAATATTTCCAGCTTGGAATATTTGCATTTGAGTGATAACAAACTGGGCGGTCACATTCCTTCACGCTTGAGCAACCTCACACAATTGAGACTTCTCAATCTCGGTGGAAATGAGTTAGCAGGGGCTATACCCAAATGGTTTGATACAAGTTTTTCGAGCTTGGAAGTACTCAGGCTGCCACGAAACAAGTTCAGAGGATCTGTTCCTAAGGAACTATGAAACCTTTCTCGACTTCATGTCATGGACCTTTCCAACAACCAGTTAACTGGAAATATTCCTTCCTGTTTTGGCAAACTTGTAGGTATGAATTTTCCAGTTAACACCACCTCAGACAATGACCTCCTTGTTTCTCCAGATTCAATGACGGATAACAAAATTAATGAGACCATGGCAGGCATTGCACGGGAATATAGTAGTGTCCTTAACTACTTGGTAACCATTGATCTTTCCAACAATGATCTTGTTGGAGTCATTCCCAAGGAGCTTACAAAGCTATTTGGTGTAATAGCCTTAAACTTGGCTAACAACAGTTTCACAGGCACGATCCCGGGGAATATTGGTGACATGAAGGCATTGGAGACACTTGATTTGTCAGAGAATAAACTCTATGGAAGGATCCCAACAAGTTTGGGATATTTAAACTTCTTAAACCACCTTAACCTCTCTTTCAATAACCTCTCCGGTCCAATCCCAACCAGCACCCAGCTCCAAACTTTGAATGACCCCTCAATTTACACGGGAAACCCATATCTTTGTGGAGATCCCTTACCCAAGTGCTTGTCCCATGATGAGAAGCCTAATCATTCTGACAATCAGGATGATGAGGAAAAGACTAACAAGCTGGAGATGATGTGGTTCTACTTAGATGTGATGTTAGGCTTTGCTACCGGATTTTGGGGTGTTGTTGGAACTTTGTTGCTGAATAAAAGGTGGAGACATGCTCTTTTTAGGTGTGTTGAGGATGCATCCAACTGGCTATACGTGGCTATTGCTCTCAAGGTGTCCAAGCTCAAGAAAATGATGATCAAGCGCGACAACTCGAATGAGTGAGATCTTAATAGTTGAGAATGTGGTATGTTCTTTGTGATGATGGACCTATGTAAGTGTAAACCTTACATGTATGGAATGGTAGATTATGTTTTCTTTGAGTGTGATATTGTGTTTACTGTCTTTGTACTTCCAATTAATGAAAAACAGTGAGGCATCTATCTTAATTGGTTAAATTCCTATATCAATTGTTATCCTTTGCGGCTCTCTACAAATGAATGAATGAATAACAGAGAAATATATTCTACATTGCAAAAGTGATATTGTAAAACCCTTCTATCAACCTAAAAATCAACCAAAACAAAGACCAAGAGATATTGAATCATTGATAATGGAAGACTAATATTATTAAACAAGGCCAATTTATTACAGTAAAGATTATACTACATATTTTTTCTGATTTTGCACATTATTATTGATTAAGCTTAAGTGACTTAACTAGAAAACAAGGGATATTGATAATGGACCACTAATTAGGCAATTAGACCAATTTTATTTTTTTTAACTAAACAAAAATTCAAGCGCAGCAAAAACACTAATTACTCCACAAAAATAGCTTAAACACAAATACACAAGTAATGGAAAACCAGAAAGCTATATCATCATGATAATATGAAAGAATTAATCAATAAATCAGCAAAACAAATTAAAATATACATAGCATAAATTAATTGCAATTGCAGCTGTAATGAGACTGCCCAGAGAGAGGAGAGAGGTTGTACCAATAGGAAGCAATTTCCGGCCACTTGAGCTCCGGCAACTCGGAAAAAGATAGAATATTTTTTTTTTTTAACTATTTTTTCTGTTAAAGTATGAGAAATTTAGAAATGGTAGTGTAGAAACTTTTTAGACGGATACTTATAAAAAAAAATGAGACGGATGAGAATGATGACGAGGAAGTACTAAATGAGGTTTGATATGTATATGTGAGTGCATAACATGGTAAAATTGTAAACTATGTTGCACGGATACCGACACGGACACGGACACGGACACGATACGGACACGGGAAAACGGCAATCCTGAAATAGGGGACACGGGTACGGCATATAACAAGGCATATAATATATCAAAAAAACGAGAATTTGACAACCTATTCAATAAAACACTAAATAATTAGCCTCAAAACACACAATTTTGTTAAAACAAGTAAATAAACAAAGTGTACGAACGTAGTCTCATACATATCAAGAAACCATCAAACCACTAGAAGACATTCCTGACAATTTCAACAAGACAACAATACATTTTCAGCAAATCAAACATTTATAGTTTAGCTCAAACAACACAATCAAATTACACAATGCACATGTGTTATATGTATAAGTTTATAGTGTAAATGTTAGAAATATAGAGTACTGTTTCATTTATATATACAGTATCCACATGCATATTATTTCTCCAAAACAATGGGCACTAACATACACAACATATATGATATATATCAATGCACTAATGCAGCAGTTGAAGGGCAAGCATAAAGTTTAGACTAAATGATCACAAAAATCACAAAAATGCACAATAGTTTAGACTAACTGAAAGTCTGAAAGCAAGTTTTTAAACCCAAAAATGGTCAAAACTCAAAAGGGGTAAACAAATAACAAAAACGAAAACCATAAAACACTACATATCTCTTAATCTAGAACATAATATTGAAGTAATTGAACCACAAAACGGCAAAACCATGATACAAATTACTGAAATTAGCCAATTTAAGCAAATCGTGAAGTGAAGGAATGAAATAAAATTAAAAATTTAAAACGAGAATGAGAGATTGAGAGGAATACCTGAGAAAGTGAGAAGGCTGAGAGCACCGACGAGAGTGACGCCTGGACGGCGGCGACGAGCGACGATCGAGCCGACGAGTGACGGGCTGACGGCGAGTCGACAAAGGATTGAAGGAATAGAGTATTAAAGTGGCCAGGTTTCGTGATGACTGAGGAGTGAGGACTTGCGAGTTGCGACGAGCGACGAGCCGACGACTGACGCTGTGACGGTGGACGGTGGGCGACGGTCAGGCGACTTCAGTCGGCGGCGATTTGGGTTTGAGAAGGTTGAGGAAGAATGAACTCGTGAAGAGGAAGATTGAAAGCAGGAGGGTTTGAGAAAAAAGAAACTGAGGGAGTTGGGCTGGAATAACAAAATGGCGTGTCCAACATAAAACGGGCCGTGTCATAGGGAGACACGGTCCGTGTCCATGACGTTTTTTTTTTTTAAAAAATAGGGACACGGATTTTGAAGTGTCGGACACGTATCGCACCGTGTCCCACCCGTGTCGGTGTCGGACACGCGTGTCGACACGGACACCTCAGCTAGGTGGCGTGTCCGTGCTTCACAGATTGTAAATAAAGAGCCATTTTATTGTAACGGTTTGTGAAAATGGAGGGAAAAGGTGAACGGAATAGTAAAAAATTTGTAACGGAGTGGGACCCATAGCTGATAAAAAAAAAAACAATTCACCCTTCCCCACCAGTTGTACTTCCTGAGAGAGAGACCCACTGTAATTTTGAATAAAAGAAGCTTCTTCCTCCAAAAGTTAATGTCAAAAAGCTGACCAGCTTTTCTTCCATTGTTGAGCTCCAAAAAACCTTAAAAATGGAGTTTAAAAAATAAAGAAAAAGTTACAGTATTCTCAGTTGGAGTGTAATGGAGTATCTGGAAACAACTGAGGATATCGAGCGGTACAACAGCGGTGGTGAGTTAGGTCCGAGCATCCCAGAGGCCGTAGATGACGAGTGTGGAGAAGTGGACTGCGCAACGGCATTGGAGTTGCTTTTAAATCAGGTGACTGTTTAATTTCTTAAATTTGGATATGTAATTCTGGGTTTGTCTGAAAATTGGGGGGAAGGGGAAATTAGGGTTTGTAAATTTACAATCGTATGAAAAGTTGCATAATTGACTTCGTTGTGCTGCGCAATTGTATGAGAAATTTGCAATATATACATGTAACTTGATTGGTTGTATTGGTATGTCATGTAATTGCTCAGAATTGCATCGTCCTCCCTGTAGTCAGTGCTCTCTGTTAGATGATCATGTACTTTTCGTTTTACTTATTCCAACTAGTTGTGTGAGTATATGTTATTGTTAAGTGCTCAAAATTTTTAGACCTAATGTTTAATGTTGACCTTTGTAAGGTGAATGTATTATGTTATGGTGTACTAGGTAATTGTAGGGGAGGAGTCCTTTAAGACTCCAACGAAAGGGAAGGGCAATGTCTCCATCAGTATTCAGATTGAGGAGGCTGGTGAAGTGGAGATGGATGTTGCTTTGCCACCTCCATCCATTGGAATGGTTTTTGAGTCCATGATAGAAGTGGATAAGTATTTCAGGGAACATGGGCAGCAGAATGGGTTTGGTGTTGTGCGTGCAAGCGCTGCAAATAATGGAAAAGGGGCAAAGAGGAATTGTAGGTGGACATGTGAAAGCTATGGAAGGCCTGGTCGACAGAGGAAAAAGAGTGAAGTGGGTTTAGTCACAGATGCTCAAATCAGTGAGGATGAAGAGTTGTGTCCTAAGCGAAAGTCAAAAAAATGTGAATGCCCTGTGTTTGTATATGCACATGTGAATGGTGTAGGTCAGTGGGAGATAACAAAGGCAAAAATGGAACATGATGGGCATAGTCCAACCCCTAGTAAAGCGAATAGTATAAGTAAATTTCGGAAGAAGTTTTTGGTGGAAAATCCCCATATTGTGAAGCAGCTATTTCAAGAAAGAAGGGCAGGGGTGCCAGTTTCTACTATTTACAGAAGTATGGCTCGGCACAGGAATGGGTTGGAGGGGATGCAGTTTGAGCATAAAGACTTACATGATGAAGTGTCTAAGGAAAGGAAAAGGGTATTTAAAGAAGGAGATGCAAAAGCCATGTTTTCTTACTTTAAGAGAATGGTAGATGACATTTCAAATTTCTTTCAAACATATCGAGTTGATGAAGAAGGAAGGCTTAAGGATGTGTTGTGGGTAGACGCAAGGAGTAGGGTGGCTTACGAAGAGTTTGGGGATGTAGTTGTATTTGATTCCACTTACTTAACTAATGAATACAAACTTCCTTTTTGCAACTTTGTAGGAGTGAACCATCATGGGCAAAGTGGCAAACCATTCTTTTTGGATGTGCGCTTGTCACCCGTGAGAATGCTGAGACTTTTGAATGGGTGTTCTCAAATTGGCTTCGATGCATAGGCGACAAAGAACCTATTTGGATCCTTACTGACCAGGATCCGGCAATGAGGAAAGCTCTGAAGGTTGTTATGAAAGGAACGACCCATAGATGGTGCATTTGGCACATCATTAACAAGTTTAATTGGAAAGAAGTTAGGCAAGCATGTGAAGTACCAGGAGCTGAAGGAGGCGCTGAAGCATGCTATTTATGATAGTCTTGATTGTGAGGAATATGAAGAACGTTGGCGTGACGTTATCAAGAAATTCGAAGTTGAAGATGATGAATGGTTGGCAGGTAAGTAAATGTGAATGTATTTGCAAACTAAGCTTAGTTCATCTGTTAAAATTTAGTTGAATTGGAGACATATTTTGATTCTAGTTTAGTTTTGTGTTGGTGTTTTGTATTTTAAAATGTTGTCTTCGAGCAAAATGTTTGTGTTGGTGTTTTGAAATATGAAATGCTGATTTTGTCGTTTTTATATTTTTAATTTTTGGAGTCATCAATTTTGCAGCAAGTATGTCTGGTTTTAATGTAGCTTTAGTAATTATAATTTTTGTTTGTCAGGCTTGTATGAAGAACGAGCAATGTGGGTTCCAGCGTTTCTCAAGCATTTGTTTTGGGCTGGGATGAGGACCACGCAGAGAGTGGAAAGCATTCACAGCTTCTTTGATGGATATCTAAGTAGACACACCCTGCTGCATGAATTTGTTGAGCGTTACGTTGAGGCTCTTGAGGTTAGAGCTACAGCTGAAAAGAAAGCTGATGATAACAATGCGAGATATGTGAGGAAGGCTTACAGTGACTTCCCAGCTGAGCTTATATTCCAGAAGATCTATACCGATGCAAA